GGCGGGCTCCACTGCGTCCTCCTGTGCTTTGAGAGGCAGTTTCCTGCACTTTTCCCCCCTGTGGGGGCTCTGGGAGAGACTTCTCTGCTGGTGCTTCTGCGGGTCTCTCCCCTCCCTCTTTGCCAGCTGCTCCTTTTATCCCTCCCGGTCAGCTCCTGCAGCTGCCCTTATCAGCTGGCTGCAGTTGTATAAAGACGCAGCTAACGAGCCACACGGGGTCCCACCTCCATCTCCGGCTCTGCTGCGGATCCTGCTGCAGGTAAAAATTTTTTCTTTTCTTTTCTTTTTGTTTTCTTCTGAGGGTTCCTGCCCTCGGGGCTCCCCCTTGGCTCTTCAGGGTCTTACCCTCTGTTCCTCCCCATGACATCCTGCAACTAGGAAAGCCTCCTTCGAAGTAGGGTGTGTAACAGCACCTTTAATCTTGCAGGTCCCCCCTGTGTGCCCCTCCACCGCTGATTGGTGGGGGGGGCCACGCTTGCAGCTCGCTCCTGATCGGCATGGAGGTGAAAACTGTGGTTTTAAATATGATGCTTTTTTGCCTCCCACCGCTTATTGGCTGAGGGGCCCAGGTGGCCCGGATGCTTGTTGTTGGTAAGGCAAAAACCACTCCATGTTGTTTGCCATCAGGGAGGTAAAAACCATGCCATGTTTAAAACCGTGGTTTTCGCTTCCCTGGTGATCAGGAGGGAGCGGTGGAGCGTCTCTGCCAATCAGAAACGAGGGGGAGGGGCACGTGAGGGAACACAAAAGATTAAAGGAGCTGCTGTGCACCCCACTTCTGCCATGAATTCAGTAAGTCCCTGGCCATGGGTTACCTCTAGAATGGAGCCCAGCACGTTCATAGGGCAGTGCTTCCAGGACGATCCTCTGCATCTCTCAGCAGACCTACTCAGTACCATTAGGTTACATTCAGGCAGTGCTGAGAGGCACAGCATGGATGTGGCTCTGCTTCCTCCATTTCAGCACTAGCCCCCTGTTGCCTCCCAGCCTAGACATCATGGCAGGGTTGCAGCATAGCTGCGTGGGTCTAGGAAATGTGAGAAGCAAGGACTTTTTTTTCTTTTTGGTGGAATCTTATATTGGACCTTTTCCCTTACTTTGTTTTGTATTTACATATTTATTTGACATATATTTACATATCCTTGGAAGTTTTCAAGAACAGGTTGGGCAGACACTCGGTTGAGATGCTTTCTAATCAGGGATGATCCTCTTGCAGGCAGGGGCTGGACTTGGTGACCTCATTAGGTCCCTTCCAGCCTTACTTGCCTTCCCCCATATGCATCATATAGGCCAGCCTTTGTTTCTTAGGACTTTCTTCTTTTTTTGTGTGACAAAAACAACATTCATATCTTTATCTTTGTGCTCTCTGGTGTTTTTGTCAATTTGGGAGCTCTCAGCCATCAGAGATGTTACCAGGGATCACTAAGTTGAAATGGCTCCCATCGATCCCCTCCTACGACCTTAGGCAGCTAAACACAAGCCACCGTTTCCTCTGGCATTTGACTTAAATACCCCTGCTGCTCTCCCAGACCTGAGGAAGGGCACCGCGTGCACCAAAACCTCTCTCAAACCATCTCATAAAAAGAGATCACCTAAAATCCCAGCCCCATCCCTTTCTCTTCTCTGCCTGGAAACAGCTATAGCACTGTTGCACTGGAGTTATTGCCAACTCTCATGATTGCTGGCATTGTTCTTAAAGTCTGCACTTCAGAATGCGAAAGACTTATCTCTTTTATATATATACGTGTTTATATATACACGCTCACATACATATAAGTATGTATATACACACACAAGCCGGCAGCACGAACCTTGGGGCTGACTAGTCAGTTCCCCCAGGGGCGTCTTCTCAGCAGGGAGCAAAGGCCCTTTGCGGCACCCCTCTCCGCCGTTCCCAGGCTAGCGCCCCGCCCCACCCACAGGTTGCCGGGTTCCTTGGTGGGCGGGGCCGGCGGTGGCTCGGCCAAACGCGTTCGGCAGCGATTTGTCCCTGCGGCGCCCCCATAGCGGGCTGCCCGCGCTCCGGGGGGTGGCGGCGCCGAGCTGGGCTGTGGGGTGGGGGGGGGAATCATGGACTAGGCTGCGCAGCAAGGGGGCGGGTAGGGGGTGGAGGCCGG